GAACAGAATTATGTACTCGCCTCTCCCACCCTTCAAGAGAGAGAGGGAGAGACACTTTGGAAAAAAAATGAAGTATATTGTTCAACAAGGAACAGAAAACGAAAAAGGAAGGTAAGGAAAATAATATATACAAAGATTAGGGGAAAAATACAAAAACTAAAATATGCAAAACCCTCAGAAATGGTTCCAGGGTCCCACGGAGTGAAAGGACAACTTTCCTCTCCGAGCTCCAAGGCAGGAGTGAAATTAGAAACCACTCCCTGCCTCCTATCAGAGTGTGTGTGGGAAGGGGAGGGAATACAATGGTTTCACCCCCACCCGGGGTCCTCCCAGTTGCTGGAAGGTCACGCCCCCATTCCAAGCCTCAAACCACAACATGGTTCTAGTTAACACCTCTCTGTCCTGTATGTAGATGGTCTTGTGCAGCACTGTATTCAAAACAGCAGAAGATGGAAGTGTCTGAAGGGCAGTCTCAAAGAGCCCAAAAAGTCTTACACCCTGCAGGCCTTACTTTTACAGCCTGTTTGTACAGAGAAGGCCAGGCTGGTCTTTATTCACCCCTCCTCGTGTAAGGGCAGAAGTCAACCCTCTAACAACTGTATCAATAATTAGTCCATCAGACAGGATGTCTCATGCTTACAACCCTGAGAGCTACACACTCACATAGTGTCTTTGCTTCAAGCATGGTCTTAAATAAGACTGTGAATTTAAGTGCCTTGACAAGACGCAAGTGAAAACCAAAGGGGAAATAAATCTCTCTCTTCCAACATGAAGTCATTCATCAGGCAAAGAGAAATCAAGAGACTCTGAACTCCTACGTCTTGCCATTTCATGTGCAATCAGTTGATTTTAAAGTTATGGCTTGCACCTAACCAGTTGAGGTCCATGAATGAGAAATTCCTGGCACATGCACAATTTTTAGTCAATAGGTGGTGGGAACTGGAGTAGAGAAGGGATTAAGTCTCCTTCTCTCTTCATTTACAGCCTTCCAGAAATCTCCCTTCTGCATTGTACCCCTCCCTTCTCCCACATGCTGCAGGGCTTTGTGGGAGCCCAAAAGCATTCAAGTTTAATTCTCTAACAGAAAAGCAAAATGAGGGGCTGTCTGATTAAACATTAGGACTCGAACTTTTTCTCCCTTTCTGGAATATACCTTCAGTTTAATGGGAACAAGTTAGTAACTGCTTATCTGAAGGTTATCCATGAATTGCAGGGCTGGCCATGTGATAGGAAAGAGTCATGTGCAGGGCTGAGCCATAGGGATAAAAAAGAAAATTTAATACTATCTAACAGTAAGTGCCAGAATTATCTTGTCCCTTTGACAGTCCCCTTAAGAGTCAAGAACCTGTGTGAAGTTTGCCTGTCTCTGGGACAACACAAAAAACCAGAAGAGGTCCCTCCCATTCACTTGATTTATTAAGGGCCTGATTCAAAACTTCTCTTGGAATATTCTCAGGAGCTTCAAAAAGAAAGCAAGCATGTGATGCACGCAAAATGATCTGGGAGGAGGAAGCTATACCCACATTCCCAATGGAGATTTAAATGTAGATTTATTACAGGCAAAATATATTCCATCAAAATTTGTTCTCAGCCTCTGGGGACTGATTCCTCCCACACCACTGTATTGATTTCACTACTGAAGTGCTGCACTAATGAGTCAGGCTCTTCATGTCCATTGTGCTACTATAAAGGATCACATTTTGTTATATAGACCATAAAATGCAGCAGAGGAAAATAAATCTGTTTTGCTTTTGTACCCCTGCCTGCTTTGGTGTCTGCATTAATGCAATAACTCTTTAAACAAGCACTGTATACTGTTTTGTTTCTGTCTATAAAGATACAAATGATGGTGCCAGTGTTGGTCCCACACGGTTATATTCAGAATTTGCTCTTTACCCTTAAAAGTCTGGGGACAGTGAGGGAATTCAGGATTTCACAAACTGTAGGGTTTATAAAACCTAGCCACGTACAGAGGTCTTTACTCACATGGTGCATAGAACATGACAAGACTGTGCTTCTTCTTCTTCAAGGACTCCCTGAAGTCTTCTCCAGCAAGATGGATAACGCTAGTCTGTTTTTCTTCCCATGCAGGCTCAGGTGGAGGTGGTGCTTCAGGACTAGAAAAGAAAGGAAATGAGATTGATTTGAAAATGTTTCTGGAAGAAGGCAAAGGGGCATCATGTCCTGGTCATAACTGCCATGAGGGAACGAACTGAGGTCAAAAAATCCTTCAGGTTGTCTGTGCAGTAGAAACACACACTCTGTACTTCCAACACCAGACAACACCAAAAAAGACGCAAGTTATTATCTGTAACACAATAAAAATACAACTTAGGAGACTGTACTCAGGCATACAAGTAGGAACACAGAATATGAATTTCCTGCATTGCATCCAACATCTGGGTGGAAAGAACATTGATTTTGTATCACTGTGGCATGAATTGAGAACAGCAAGCAGGTGGAATCAAAAGGCAACCAACACAGCACAGCATCTTCTATTCAAACACCCTTTTTGTATTCTTTATTGCTATCACGCAAATGTCTATAAAGAATTCCATGACCTTCTCTTGAATTTTGATATTAAAGCCAGGATGCAATAATCAGCATCATTCCACCTGGAAGACTGGGGTGACTGAACTGGAATATTTTACCTTGATAAAGAGAATGTCAGGTTTCAATTATGGCTTCACATACTGACTAGATCAGAGCAATCCCTCACATCTAGAGCACCTCTAACAAAACTTCTGCTATTCACCAGCTCGCAGACTTCTCTCAGACTCATTAAATTCATTCCAGTGACTACTTATATAAAATCACCAGAATGGTGCCGTGGTATAAAGACCTTCATATGTCGCCTTGGTAATAAATTAGCTTTTCAGACTTTCCTGTCACTTTGAATGACACCATTTGAAGTTGTATCAAGTACATAAAAACCAAATGGAGAAAAACCTCTATTTTTAATGTCCTGCTCAAGGTCGCTTGTTGGACATCCATCATATTTCCATCAGTACTGATTTGCTGGTTGTTATAAAAGGAATTAGGGCACCTGGTCTGAATTTTCACATGAACTCAGTCATCTTGAGCTATCATTGATTACAGTTACAGTAAGAGGTGTGACTTCATCTCACACAGAACTTTCCATGCTGGTCTGAAACAAGCTACAGAGATACTGATAACACCTAGTGTAGCAGCACAGACTACAGTTACTGCAGAGGGACCAGAGCCAAAAGCCACATGGCTGCAAACAGACCACTCATTGGGACAGGTTTACATGAACTGTACTTTTATCTCCAGCCCGTACCACAGAGACATCCCTACTTCCACCAACTTCAATGCAGCTGTGACAATTTTATCCCTGGTCAGCAAACAAAGATCTTGCCCTATTACCAATTAGAGACTAAAACCATCCAGCAGACAAGAGCAGGAAACAAGTTGTCTGGGTTTCCCTA